CCCCCCACTGTTTGCAACATTTTTATAAACAAAGTTTATACGAATAGCTGAATTAGACTTTTACCATGAAGAACTTGGTATGCAACAACTCTAAATATAGGGACATCTTAAGTGAAATATTAAGCTGTTCACTCTCACAAACTATAAACAGCCACATACAACCCCATGTTATACCACTGTCAAGCTTTCAGAGAAATGTCCTGAAGTTTTCTGTAGAGCTAGTCATTTTATTTAAAAATACCATCTCTCATAATAGACATGCTGTAAAGTACTCTAACAAGAATGTTTTGGTATAAAAATGGCTTGGACTCTTGGGAGTATCTCCTCACTTGTTATCTACCTCAGGCTTCTTGCACATAGTCAACATAAAAAATGCACTAGAATTCTTATGCAAGGAAGTGATATAATAAAATGTCTTTAAGCACCTTTTAAGCTATATATACTCCAGCAAATCTTCCTACTACAGTAATCAAGAACTATTCTAGGAGAACACATGAAACCCTAACCACTAAAACTAATACAGTTTGTCAGTCCTTTTTCTGCTACGGCATTCTGAACAGCAGAAGTCACAGAAGATATACCATGATGCATTCTACTCTCCCAAAATGAAAAAATCCTTCTGCAAATGAATAACTGTGTACCCATCTGATTTGGTACAGAAGACAAGGCTCTGCACTTGGCATCAACCTTGAGCTCCATTCCTGTTTCTGCCACTGACTTACTATCTAAGCTTGAGCAAGTCACTTTACTTTTATCCCCTCTTTTCTCTCCTCTTTCCTTCTGTGTGCGCCCTCTTCCCCCCTCAGTGAAGGAAAAGTCTGTTGTTATATTACTACAAAGCCAAGCACCATGGAAGGCCCAACTAAGATCAGACCCCCTATGTGCTAGTGTAATAGAGAATATTTACTTCTTTAAAATGCCTGAATGTGAACCTAGTATCCTTTTGTTTGTGGCTGTAAGGCAAGGAATCCAAAATGCCCTTCTTATTTATACACACAGATAATCAATTTGTTTCCATAGCTATCTGTTTCCAGGAAAGATTCTGACCTTACAGTATCCCCCTAATGCACAGGAATTTTTATCCAGCTTAGATCAGGCCAGTGAGAGCAAAATTCTTTGAAAAGAAAACCCTTCAAAAATCACTCAAAGTGACACTTGTGACATTTCTAGTACCTACTGACATTTCCAGTCTTTCTTTAGTTAAGATAAGCAGGTATAAAAGAAGGTGGTAATATTGCTTCATGTATCATCTTAATGTGCTAGAAAGAGTGGATTGACAATTACTGTATCTGCCATTCCTGCCTGCAGATTAATATTTCCAGATTCAGAGGCACCCAGACTCTATTCCAACCATTCACCACACCTCCAAGATTTAGCAGGATGATTACTCCTGGGACTCTCTTAGAATGTGATGTCAAAGTTAACTTTCTTAATATCTTTTCAAATGAGGGTTGAGATAGTAGGGCCAGACGTGTCTGTAAATATACAGTTCTAATCTTCATTTTCAGTTTGCAGCTTCTCAAAGCTACTTGCTGCCCAGGGAGAAGGTCATGGTAACTTTCCTGCCACAGAGGTTTCAGAACGAGAGAATGCTTCACTTTTACTTAGGCCTTGAGGCCTCTGAAACCAAGATGATTAAACTGAACTAAAACAATGTACAATTTCTTGCATGGCTGTTCCTAGGGACCCGAGGAAACAGGCTTGTTATTCTTTCAGTACAAGGTGCTACCAGCTGAGTTTTACCTTATCAGAGAGTACTACCCTGTCACAAATAAAGCATGTCAGAGCTACTGACATGCCACAAAGAGCTGCTTAATTAATTACAACATTAGTTGAGTCAATAGATATCATTCAGACTGACAGTGCTTCTTTCAAAGAGTTTAGTTGGTCAGTTGTATTAAAGTGTATCTCATTCCTGAGCCTGCTGCATGGAAACACAGCAGTCCTCCAGAGGGAAAGGCTCAGTGTATCGCTGCACTAAATATCAACTCTGTGTAATAAGGAGGGGAAGGGGGAACCTGTACTTTCAGCTTCACTCTGACATGATGCAGCACTCACGTCTCTCAAAATCATATGAACTGCTTCAGCAGTCACGCATCCATCAGAGAGCGAGAGAGCGCGCGAGAGCGAGAGCTTATGCACGTTTATTGGGGAATGAGAAAACTTAGCAGCAGTCTCATTATCAATTTTCATTATCAAGCATATTACACAAATGTACCATGCAGGTCACTGGCCAATATGACACTTACCAATTTGCAGTTCTGGGTACATTTCGTACAGACACCAATCCACCTTGCAGTCACAGTGGGTTTTCTCAAAAAGATTGTCTAAAACATCCCGTGCCACCTGCCGCTCATCCACCATCAGTGACTTAGTGCTGTTATCATTCATGTGCACCTTGACGACAAGCTGAGTACAGAGGCATAGAGGAGTCAGTTAATTTCAGCACTGAGTAAAAGACTACCTTGATCATGAATCTGCTAAAACAGATAAGAAAGATTCAGGCTGAAGTTTATTTCTGATTCAAAGGCGCCATGTACCACACTGAACTGGGGGGATAATACAGCTTGGGAGCAGTTACATTGTGTTGACACCAAATTAAAAAAATCTTTTGTAAAAAGGGGAAATTGAATTTTATACTGAGCAGAACTCCAGAAGTCAGTGAAATGGCTGACAGAGAATATGGCAGAACCTCAGCTCTGCTTCTAAGTCCACGGGATATGCAACTAAGGAAAATGCTTGGTACAGCAACCAAGTACAATGGGATGAAATACCTGTAATGAAGGCCAGAATTACTGAATTGGATGGTTTTGGGTTTAATGAGAAAAAGAGTGAAGGATTCTTGCTACATTAATCGGGTAACCTGGAGTCAGATGATACAGCGAGAGCTACCAGTGCAAAACCCTTTAATAAAGAAATTATGCATTACAGTGATTGAATGATCCCCAGTCCATGGTTATTATTCCTTGATCCCATGAAGTACTTTCTAAACAAGAAACAATGTACACACTGCATGTGTGGGTGTGGGTGTGCATGCTAAACTATAAAAGACTAAACTGAAAATGGCAAATATGCCACAATGGTCAAATGATGCACTTCAGCAAACAATCTCCTATCAGGAAGCATACACAAGCGAATTGAGAGAACTTCTCTCTATGCAGCAGTTTTAATAAATGCTGATTTTAAAATGTTTACATAGGAAACTTCTGATGCAAGAGAGAAAACCTCCATGAAGGGGAGGTAATAGCAGAGAACTAAGATCAACAAGAAAAAGTCCTTGCAGTCTTTTGAAAAGAAAAAATGTAAACCAAAAAGCTGAACTGTATATTTGCTCTGGTTTCAAACCCTCTAAATGTTGTTTTTTCCTAGAATAAGGAGCCCATCTGTGGTGGAGGATATGTAGAAAATATATTGAATATACATAATCTAAAACATGTCTAGGAAAAAAGGGGAAGTTATTGTCTGGTTCCAAGGCTTTGTCTGTTTGGAAACATGCCTGCAATAGTTTTACATCATTTGCATTGCACTAAGCCACAGGACATTTACCAGCCTCTGCCTCTTTTTACAGCAGAAAAGACTAGCCCCGTCTAGAATTTTATTTTAATTCTCCCAGAACATCAGAGTTATGACAGCATGGATATTTAACAATGGGATAAACCAGCAGAGTCTAATTCTAAAATATTTAACGGTGTCAAAACATTTCATATCTTAAAACGGCTGCAAAATAAAAATTAAAAAACTGATACACTGTCTCCCAAAATGATGATCACTTATTACGCAAGTTAAGAGACAACAAGATGAGCTGCAATGGATGCATGTAGGAGGAACTCTCTTAAGAACAACTCTTATTATTTCTTCCAACATATCCTCAGGAAAGTCTGTGCATTTCATTCCATGTGGGAGATGTCTCAAACACAGACACGCCATAATTAACTGGAAGCCTGAACCATGTTTTTCTGAAGCTTGTAGAATCTCATCTCTGGCAGCACTCATTTGTTACTCAAGCAGAACTGAAAATTTCAGTTCATCCATGGGTCTTAGTTTTTCAGAGCCGCTGGACTGCAGCTCCTGTTGAATGCAACCAGGGTTCCAGGGCCTCGTCACACTTTACACTCAGGACACGTTCTATTTAGATTATAGTAAGCATTACTACAAGCCAGAAAGTCTTCTGAGCCATCACATGGTAATGCTTACTATGATCTTAGCCCTCTGGACAGGGCTGGAGCCTGGTGCAGTAGACAAACAGCTGTTTGTAAGTCCCAGCCCTTGCACCTCACAGGAGCTGGTTCAAACCCCTTAGTATGGTGTCAGGGCTGAGAGCCATAAACAGCTGTTTGTCAATCTCGATCCCCACCAAAGTCCTGAACTGGCTCCAGTGGTGTCCCAGGGTTGGGACCAACAAACAGAACTGGAGCCAGTGAGGACTGTTTTTATTATCTCTGTAGAGCAGTCTCACGGTAGCTGAACATATGTTACTTAATACCATTTAGACATACTCCATACTCTTTGCTACAACATGATGGGACTTAGCATGTGTTTTACTGCTTAAAATAGGCAGATGCTGGCATTTTAAGCAGTTAAAACTTCTGAAGTGTAACATGCAACGAGACCCCTAACTAATACAATCATAGAAATCTAGGGTTGGAAGGGACCTCAGGACCATCCCCAACTAGATCATTCTATCCAGGGCTTTCTCAAGACGGGCCTTAAAAGCCTCCAAGGATGGAGATTCCACCACCTCTATGTAACCTGTTCCAGTGCTTCACCATCCTCTTAGTAAAAAAGCTTTTCCTAATATCTAACCTAAAACTTCCCTTGCTGCAACTTGAGACTGTGGTTCCTTGTTCTGTCATCTGCCACCACTGAGAACAGTCTAGCTCAATCCTCTTTTGAACCCCGCTTCAGGTAGTTTCATAGTTGTTAGGGTCAGAAGGGACCTGAAGTCTGCTATTAAATCCCCCCTCAGTCTTCTCTTCTCAAGACTAAATAAGCCCAGTTCCCTCAGCCTCTCCTCATAAGTCATGTGCCCCAGCCCCTGAAGCATTTTTGTTGCTCTCTGCCAGACCCTCTCCAACTTGTCCACATCCTTTCTATGCTGGGGGGCTCAAAACTAGACACAGTACTCCAGATGTGGCCTCAACAGTGCAGAATAGAGTGAAATAATTACTTCCCTCAATCTGCTGGCAACGCTTCTACTAATGCAGCCCAGTATGCTGTTAGCCTTCTTGGCAACAAGGGCACACTGCTGGCTCATATCCATTTTATTGTCCACTAACCCCCAGATCCTTTTCTGCAAAGAAGCTGCTTAGCCAGGCAGTTCCCAGGCTGTAGCAGTGCATGGGATTGTTCCACCCTAAGTGCAGGACTTTGCACTTGTCCTTG